GTTAATAACGTCTACGATCATTTACCCATAACTTAATTGCAATATTATTTCTTATTTGTTCCATGTTTTTTCATCTACTACATTTGTTTCTTCTATATCACCTATATATTTGGTTCATAATACGTGTTATTTGGCCTCGTCTTCCGTCTCTGTCGTTATATTGATCAACATAACTAATTTTTTTTTGGAGGAATTTTCAAAATGCCAATTTTGGAATATCTATTTGCAAAAATGCCATAATGAATTGTCTACTTTTATCATTTTTGTCAAATTAAGGATTTTTAAAATTTCAAACTCTAAAGTTCTAAACTTAAAAAAGGTTTCCGATCCTAACAAACCCTAAACCCCAAAAACTAAATTTTAAGCTAAATAGTTAATCCGAATATAAATGATATTTTGAATAAATTATAATATAATATTAATGAAATTTTTATAAAATGACCTCTTAAAATGGCGTTTTTTAAAAAAATAGCGTTTGTTAAAAATCTTTTTTTCCTAATACTTTCAAATCATAAAAAAAAATTCCAAATAAAACTATATCGATCCACGTAACTAATTAACTCTCACTAAATGTTTTCAAACTAAAAAAAAATATATATATATATTTCCAGAACCGCATATAATTCACAAAACTCACCAAATATTATGCGGTACTCACTATTGCAGACTAATTGCACTTTTATTCACAAATATGAACCACACTTGGAGTTTTATTTTTTAATAATTATTTAACAAAAACCGTACCACACTTGTAAAACATCGTTGATTGGCAACATACAAGTGGAAACTACAAAATCCGCCCCGCTTTTCTAAAAACCGTTTGTCTCCAATCAATTACTATGGCTTTCGTTTAGCCGAAATTTTGACTTATATTTATCATAAGTATATAAAATTACTAATGAGATGATTTAGACTCTTAACCATATCGATATCTATCTAATAATATTGCGCATTAAATCTGTCATTAAAAAAGATGACTAGGATTTAATTTACTGATTTACTATCATTTAGTCCAAATACACCCGATTTGGTAAACAGACCATTAAAATCTGTGTGTATACACGAATATACCATGGATAAAATCATCATAGACCTTGGCGCATCTAATCTAATCAATTTCCACTAGTTAAAAAAAAAAAATTAATTAATTAATTCCCACACACGTACGCGATTGACTACGAATCAGAATGAGCGGTAATCCTGTGCACTTCACAATCGGACGGATAAAAAACGCATCGATGTACACGTAGTTGGTGTCTGAATCTAAAAGCCCTAAAACCAACGGTGAGGATTCACTCAAGAGTTTACTTCGCGTTCGTTGTCTGAAAACCATGTTCCGACAATATAGAGCGTCGTCTACACGCGCCTTCTGATTCATTCAACAGATTTACAAGTAAAAACCGAGGGTGCAGCGTTAAGTACGGTGTAACTAACCGTACCGGATTCCAACTTTCTTTCTGGATGTGAAGCATCCGAAGAGAAGAGAGAGAGAGGTTTTAGTGTTATAAAACGACACGATATCCTCACCGATTTACGCCTCATTTTCTTCTTCAC